TGGTAGCCCAGGCTGGCCTCGAACTCACAGAGATCCGCCTGGCTCTTCCTCCCGAGTGCTGGGATTAAAGGCGTGCGCCACCACCGCCCGGCTAGTTACTCAATTCTTGCTACTGAAAGATAATAACCATTTGCCAAACTTACCAAGACAGTATCAAGAACAGAGAACAAACGCTCATTTCCTGATTTAGCAGGGAATTAAATTTGTATCAACTTTATGAGCACATACATACTTCAGAATCACTATAGTCCAAACACCAGGTAGATTATAGGATGAGGTTCTATTTAAACCCTATGTAAATAGGTTTATTTTTAAGAATCCATCATATATGACCCTATGAGATGAAGTCCAAACGAAAGACTCCCAGAAATTATACCATAGAAGTATAATATGGGAGACATCTTCAAGCTCACCATGGGAAACTCCATTTTGTATGAGGCCAAATAGCAGTGATTTTCCATCATGTCAAATAGCCAGGCTCTGTAAATCATCTTCAAGGAGGAAGGAGATTAACCAGTTAGTAGCATCCTACATCTTACCAAAAAGGAAGTACATGGTACAATTCAGTAATTTTTCAAGGCAACTTACTGAGAAGTTATTTCAGATTTTCTGGCCCCAGAAACTAGAGACCATAAATTCCAATCTGTCATCCCAGGAACTACTATGCTATTAAAATGGATGAGTCTATCAAAGGGAAGATCTTTTTGACAGCTCACCTTAGTGAGTGTTCCTCAGAGGTGAACCATCATTTTGTTCAGTCATACTCACCCCTTTTCACAGTCTAGCCCTGCTTCCGATGATGAAAATTGGATCATCTCTATCACATGCAGCTTCTATCTGCGTGCTCAGCACTGACTCTCAATGGGATTTTATCTTGAATCCACAGAGGAATAGCTTTTGGTTTATGTCCTGCAAAGAAATTCAGAAAAAGACACCCAACTGTTGCTACTAAATGTGTGCCACTCAAAGATGACAATACTGGCATCTGTTACAAAATGCTCTTTGCTCTCCCCAACAATATCACATTTGGCAATAGGAAGGAATAAAGATAATTCACTTATCTTGTTTGACTAATAAATGATTCAGTCCATGCAGCAAATGCTAAGCAAAAAGAGTGTCTTGGTTCCTGGGGCAGCAGGGAGGCTGTTTACCCTTCCAAACATAAAATCAGTAAATTTGAGAATGTATTATTTTCTTACTTTTTAAATGTTTGTACTCACTGAGCCTCTGTTACACCTTTGGAATCTTCTTTCTGTGTGTGCATTTGGTGGATAGAACATAAAGTATTTCCAGAACAAAGAAAGTGAAGGGATCCAGGACATGAGGCTCTTAGGCTTGCAGCTCTGTCTGTGATATTGGGAGCATAAAAGGTGTGGAAATAAATACTGATTATATGCATGTATAAACATGTGTATACATGGAATGTATTTACACACAAACAAACACAAGCACACATACAGCAAGCCGGCAGGAAGTCTCCCATTGTTTCCTATCACCTGCCCTGGCCTGAGACATGCCCTGCACACACTGTTTCCTACATGGACTCATCTATATTTGCAACAATGCTTTACTGAAGGTCGCACTTGGTTTTACTCTCTCAATGTCGTCACAATTATTCAGCAAAGTCTACCTTAGACAAGCAAACAAACAAACAAGATAAAAAAGAAGCCAGTTAAGCTGGGAGATTCAGTTTTCCATTTGTGACTTAGATGAGGAAGGCTATTTTTTCCTAAGACTTTTTCTAAAGCAGCCAGCTGGCTTGCATCTCATAAGCCAGTTCCAGTGTGTGCTCTTGTGTTCACAGCTGAGTCTCTGTTATTTGGCAACATTTCTTGGTTATTTAACCTAAATGGAAACAAACAGAAACCACAGTCATGTCCCTGGATGAACATATAGTCTCGTTTGCTTCATGACCACTTACTAAGCAGCAAGCATTCACACAGACCTTAAGAAAGGTGGGCATTCTTATCCTTACTTCAGCAAAGGCAATAAAGAGAGAAATTAAATATGCGCACTCAAATCCCAATCTAATTGTTGATATAGAAACACATAAAAAGTAGTGTGAACACACGTGCGCACGTGAGAGTGGAACAGAGGGAAAACCACACAGAAGGGAAGCCGGGGAAGGAGGTGAGTAAAACCCAGTGCGGCTGCCGGGGAAGGAGGTGAGTAAAACCCAGTGCAGCTGAAGCCGGTGCTCAGCTCCTTCACAGAACTGTGCTTCTGCTTCTGTCTTTTCTGCCGCTCTACGGATTAAACCCAGGGTCTTGCTCATGCTCTACCGCTGAGCTAGATCTGCAACCCTTTCTAGAAACAAAAGACAAGTCCCCCAAACTCTTGCGCTAGGGCTTCCAACAATATGTCTAAGTTCACATCCATTTGTGCCGGTTTTCCTTAAACCGTGGGCAGTGTTGTACACGAAACCTGTGGTTCCACATGCGTAAGAGCTGCAGGTCACAGGGCAGTGGTGGCGCACACCTTTAATCCCAACACTTGGTGGGCAGAGGCAGGCCGATCTCTGTGAGTTCGAAGCCAGCCAGGTCTACAGAGTGAGATCCAGAACAGCCAGGGCTACACAGAGAAACCCTGTCTCGAAAAAACAAAAAAACAACTAAACAAACAAACAAAACAAAAAGCTGGAGGTTACCTGGTGACTAGGGACTAAATATGACTTCCAGAGAAACGTCAATGTCTGTACAGCTATGTGATCTGAGTGGAACTTAGCTGCCACAAAATATCAAGTTCACCCTGCACAGCGGAGGCGGAAATGCACCAGGTTCCTACCACTTACTAACTGTGTACATTGGCCACAGGAAAGCACTGAGATGATGCTTAGTTAGCCAAGTCCTGTTACTCCAAGACCAGTTAAATGAGTGGGAGATTCAACAAGGCTCTAGGAGACAAAACTACTTACCTGAATATCTTAGGTCAAAACCACTTTCCATAAGCAGGGCTTCTATTCTGCTTCTGCTGCAAGTTCAATGTGGGCTACATGCTCCCTACTTCTGTGTTTCCTGTAGCTACCTGTAATCTACCAAATGCAGGACGATGCCTTAGAAATAGTTTTTTGAAATAAAAAAAAATCAATTAAATAACCAATGACAAAAATTTATAGCAAAATTTGTTTCCTGTTGCAAAATAGTAACCAAAGTGTTTTAAGGATAAAATTTATAGTCTTTGACTTGACTTGTTCACAGAATAATCTTCTACCCAAACTTCTGAAAGCTGAGTCTATGTCTCTGTTGAGGATGGCTTTTGATGTTAAGATGACCATGTCATCCAGATGCCTGTGTCTTTAGGAAGGCCCCGTTATTCATCTGTTTCTGTCCATAAACTCAGTGGTCAGAAAGACTCAGAGCCAGGGGACATGTTGCATTGCCCTGTCAGCTCATTGCAACAGATCTAACTTCTTAACATCTTCATAAACAATTATTGAAGGTTAATTTTCAACATGAGTTGACTAGAAAGACTCACTATGGCCAAATTAACAAATCCAAGCAAGTAAAACAGACCAAAAAGAACTCTATTTTGGTGTCTTATACATTTATACAATTTTAAACATTGATGAATAAAGTATAGTTTGGGAAAAATGTAAAGTGATTGCGAGTATTATTTTCATAAGTAGTGGTTCTCAGAGGCCTTCACCCTTGCCCTGGCTCCAGTTTCTATAACCATATTTAATATGACTCCACCCAACTCAACTATGGCCACATTACAGAGTATAAATATTTCCTCATGAATTGAAAAAATAACAACTATACATTAATCCGGTGTGTGGATTGTGAAGAGCTGCACAACCATAATCTAAAACAACCAAAAATGGGTTAACAAAATCAAAAGGAGATGACCTCAAGGCCATGGCACAAATCTAACCATGTATTTTAACTGCAGGTCTACATTAAGCCTGCCCAGGCCATTCCCTCAAGGAGTCTGTGACCATAACATACATTTAAGGAAGAATTTTCTGTAAAGTGGCACTATCTGGAAATCATTAAGAATCATTTTGAGGGGCTGGAGCATTGGCTCAGCAGTTAAGAGAATTGTTGTTCTTTCAGAAGACATGGGTTTAGTTCCTAACACTCGTACATGGGCTCACAACTCTGTCTGTAGCTCCAGTTCCAGGGGATTTGATGCACTCTCTGGTGTCTGCTGGACCTAAGCATGAACATGGTGCACATACATGCATGCAAATAAAACATTCATATACATAAAACAGAAAAGAGAAAAGGAAAGAAGGAAGGGAGGGAGGGAAGGAGGGCGGGAGGGAGAAAGGAAGGAAGGAAGGAAGGAAGGAAGGAAGGAAGGAAGGAAGGAAGGAAGGAAGGAAGGAAGGAAGGAAGGAAGGAAGAATCATTGTTAAACTATCTCCCTGAACTTTTTCAGTGACTCTGTCCTTATATAATTATCTTCTTACCATGGGTACTTGGGCCTTTTAGATTTAATTATATACTATTTTTTGTAACATAATTGACTGTTATGGATCTGCCCATCATCTTCCCTAACCAAGAGCAAGAATTACTGATTTTCCTATGCCCTATGGCCTCATATCCCTAAAAGTAAACTCAATCATTGGAATTGAGTAAACAAAAACCTCAACAATCAAAACACATATTTTAGTTGTTTTATTTCCTTAAAGAATTTTAAGCCAGGCAGTGGTGGCACATGCCTTTAATCCCAGCACTCAGAGAAGCAAAGTTGGGTTTCTGTGAGTTCAGGCCAGCCTGGTCTACAGAGTGAGTTGTAGGGCAGCCAGAGCTACACTGAGAAACCCTCTCTTGAAAACCAAAACCAAAACAAAAATTTAAATACATGCTTTAACATTTTGTACATTGTTTTCTATTCATCAGTATCATAAAATTTCTTGGTGATATCAAGAAAAAATATGTAAACAAATTTAAAGTTTTTTAAATATAAATTTTATGTCCATTTCATAATTCTTAATTCCCTCTGCTCTGAATAGGAACTTTAAGCAAGTCATATTTATTGCCAGTTCTCAAGGAAATATCTTTGCTTGAATGTTAGAGTTTGAATGTCATCTCCTAATACGATTTGAATCCACATTATTTAATTTTCTACTAGGAGTCTTGCTCCCACAGATTGCTAATTATCTCTTGTCTGCATGACCTCTTTCTCCTGGTAAACTGTGGATTCTTCAAGGACAGAATCCATGAAACAAGCATATTAAAAGTTTGTTGATGAGTTGCTGTTTAGTTGAAATCATACTGGTCTGAAATACAGCTCACTGGGATCATGGTATTACATCAATCCAGTGATTACAGTTATACCTTTCATTCCAAATACAAGATGTTAATGCATTCCTTTACTTTCCAGGAAATCTGTAAAGAAAGCACAAAAACATGAGGATAAATATTATAGAATATACAATAATATCCATTCGCCATTACTAAAGACATCTAGTTATGTAAAACGAGTAGCAAAAGTGCAAAATACATGGTGATTTTTTTTCAGAACCACAAAGATACATATATTACCTACCCAAACACTGACACAAAGAATTCATTCTGGTGTAAAGTACAATGTACTCTAGATCAAAGTTTACATGTATTACAGTTCTTCTGTGCTCAGGAAAAGGAAGACCAAGCAAGAATTTAGACCAAAATTTGGAGAAAGAGTCAGAATCATTGCGATTATTTGTTACACAGCAATGAGATGACTAATCTCTCAAAGGTTTCCTCCAAATACTAACAATGCACTGTGATCATCAGAACTGCGGTACAATTCATACTTAGAAAAGTCGATGTAGACTAGAAGGGGAAAGGGGAGCTTTTAATGATCTATAATTGCTCTGGCAGACTCACCATAATCAGGCCATTATAGGAGGTTTTTCTCTAGCTACTGCAGGTACACTCCTACCTAGTTCGTCCTGATCTTCCTCCTTTCTCCTCTGTGCCCTTTCAGTCACCCTGGTGGCCTGTGTTTATCGGGGCTCATTTTGTTCCAAGATATCAAAGCAGAAAGAAAAAGGCAGTCCGTTTTTCCAGAATCCTCACTCCTCACGGACCCTCTATTCCTGAAACACCATTTAATTCTATTCTAAACAGACATGACCTTAAATTTTATAAATTCCCATTTCCTGGTGTCCGGTGTTCGCCAAAAATGTAAACTATTTAAGACAAGGGTTTCTCTTCTCTCATCTATAGCAGTGGGGTTAAATTTTAGGCAACATTTTCTATAAAGGCAAGCTCACTGGTCTAAAAGCAGTTTTGTAAAGCCTAGTGTGGTGGGTTATGTCTTTAATCCCAGCACTCAGGAGGCAGAGGCTGGTGGATCTCTGAGTTCTAGGCCAGCCTGGTCTACAGAGCAAGTTCTAGGACACAGAGAAACCCTGTCTCAAAGTAAAATAAAATAAAATTTATTTCAAGTGGCTGAACTAAGTTGAAAAAGGCTGGGCAAAACAATTGGCAATGTGTGTCCTGAGTACAGATATGAAGTGCAAAGGACTGCAAGCTAATGAAAGGGATACAACTGAGTTGTCTAGAGCCTCAGGAATTGGAATAATTGAGCTAAAGAATCACTTCTTGTGAGCCCCAGAAGAGAGAGGACCTTGTTACTTTCCCTGGGAACACAAGATGGGATGGGCAGGGCTGTAACACACAAACTCGGTAGAATGATTGCCAGGCAGTCAGGCCTGGACCTTGTTTTCTGTTTTATTGTTGTTGTTATTTTTCATGTGCAAATTGCTTCCTGCTTTAATAATAGGTAGACTGCCACAACGATAATAAATAATAAATCATCCTTGAGACATCGGGACCCTCAGTCACTTCTGAGTTCAGTGTGAGTGAGGAGGCGACAAAAGATCAGGAACTGGTGGCTAGTTGAGTCATCTTTACCAGATTTTGCCCTGGCAGCTCTCACTGGCAAACACTCAGCTGGAAAGTGCCCATCTTCACGGCCCAGGGCAAACTTGAGCAAGCAGACATGGTTGCAACACTAGAAACTGAGAAAGAAGGCAAAAGGAAAACCGACTCTACTCCACTTCAGCGCTTTTTCAGAAATTCCTATTATTAGAAAAAAGTCTTGGGTGTCAATCTTGGGCAACTTTATGAAGCGACACAATGTTTTGGACCCTCCTTTGATGACTTTTGGCTTTCTCCTTGCTTGTCTTCCCTCGTCCATCCCAGTGGTCTTCCCGAAAGCATGCTTCCCTAGTCACAGCATGCTGCTAAGGGCTCCCCCTCACTGGGAGTGGGTCCCGTGAAGTCCTAGATGACTAAGAGGTACTCTGTCAACAACCACCCCTCTACCTGTCAGGGGCCTGTCCTCCTCAGCTCTGGTGTCCTTCACCATGCTGGGTATGGAGTCCTGCTCTGGACCTTGAGAAATGCAATTTAGCAGATTCCATTATTAACAAAGAGGCTTGTCAAACAGCGGGGTCAGTATGGTCAACTCCCTCTTTCTGGACTCCTCTGAACTGGGAGCGCAGTAGCAGGGGTCCAACACAGAGCATTGTAGCAAGCAGAAAGCAAGTAAGTACTACAAGGCTCTCTCAAGGTTGACCTGCATATGAGCAAACCATTGTTTTTGGATAGAGTGAAACTATTATGCTACATACTACCTCAGTTGGGTTTTGATGATGTGGATGCCTCCTCCTAGCTTTCATATCAGAAGGCACCATACAAGCTTCTAAAGGAGAGAAGCAGCCAATAGTCCTACCCAGCTACCATGCCTATGAACCATAATAACCAGCATGGTCTCTGGTTTTTTTGTATGTGTGTTGTTTTGTTTTGGGTTTTTTGGTTTTTTTTTTTTTTTTTTTGGTTTTTTGTTGTTGTCATTGTTGTTGTTGTTGTTGTTTTTTCAGTTCATCTGGTTCAGTTTTAGGAGACCCAACAACCATCTCAAAGGTTCATCCTGCTTCTCCACAGCAACATTTTCCTGCTGACAGAGATGCTCTTCACCTGCCCTTAGAAAACTGCCTAATAGAATTTCGCTGCTGTCTACAAACAGCTCTGCCCAGGGTTTATTTTTAATCTCCTTTAATGCTTTCAGCACGTCTTTATAACAGAACAACCACATTTATAAAGAGCTGCTATACATTGTTTATTAAGTGACAGTAGTTTTCAAAAAGATGTAAACACTTCCACTACTGGGCATATTATGCTGATCCCAAGCATCAGTTTACAGAAATTAAAAGATAATTTCTATAATACAAACACTATCATCGCCCCTATAGCTATGAGCAGAGCCATAGCACATGGGGCCTAAGGCTGCCTCTGAAAGCCTCAGGGAAAGGTTCATTAGTAGGACAGGCTGTTGAGGAGATGGTTTGTCAATGTGTCTGAGGCAGAATAAATAACAATTATTTTTATTGCTATCAGTACCAGGGAAGCTATTTTAGAACCACAACTCAGGAAAGAACAAAACATACACAGCCGTCATTGTGGCAGTTGTCGTTTTAGATCTATCTTTTGTGGGTTGCTACTAGCAACAAGAAAATTAAGCAAAAGGAATTTTAATCAAAGAAATACTGCTTGTACCTACTGATCTTATATCCTGGTGCATTGTAAAGCAGGTAATAGAAATTATTGATCTGAGTTCTCTGGATAGAAATTTAAAAAATCTTAAGACAACAACCATCAATCATAAAATGTGAATATTGGTGCTTAGAAGAAGAAACATGTCCATTGAGCTTCTGTGGCATCTCTCTGCTCTGCAGAACCTGAAGCAGTAAGATTTACTTCCTTGGCACACATGCACAGAGGCAGAGATAAAATTAAATATCCAGCATTTGAACCAGAAAGTGATCTGAACTCCAACAGTGCAGATGGTAATCCTGCAGGCTTTGATCAACTGAACACATTTGACCTTGTAAATAAAACCTTAATAATAAAAATCTTAATAGCACAAAGATGAAATATCTGAAGCTTAATTGAGCTTTCACAGTCCTGAGTAGTATTCCGGGTGTTTACATATTTTTACTAATTTCTTCTTCATGTGTCTATGGATATGATGGATGATCAGTCTTCCTATGGAGAAACAGAAACTCTAAGGGGCTAAATAATTGGTTGAAAGAAGTGCCAATGGATGACAAGGAAGAGTGGAACCTAGTTTTGTATACTTTTATTTTTTAATGTTTATGAGTGATTTGCCTGAATGCATGTATGTCTACCACATGTGTGCCTGGTACCCACAAAGGCCAGAAGAGGGAATCAGATAATCTGAAACTGGATTTATAGATAGCTATGAGTCACTATATGGGTGCTGGAAATCAAACACCGGTCCTCTGAAAGGGCAGCAAGTGCTCTTAACCACTGAGGCATCTCTCCAGGCCCTTGTGTGACTTTAAAGACCTCCTCCTTTCCATTCTGCCACACTGATTCTTAAAAAATAAAATGTAGAAGACTGCTTATTGTCAAGCCTCTTGCATGAGAGGGTCAAGGAGGGGTTCCTAGGTGCCAGGTGCTTCACTTACATAATTCTTCAAAAGCACTGCGGGCCATATCACACTGTGGCCTTGTGAAGTAGGTATTAAGAATACTGACACAGAAACCCACTAAGGGGCTTGATTGAGATTACAGAAACACTAGGGGCCACAGCTGCCATCTGAAACCAGAGCTGCCTGACTCAAACATATCATTTCTGCCCAACCATTCCATCTCTGACAAGACATAACCTTTCCATAACGGTGTTGTGTGTGTGGTAGGGGTGGGGATGGGGGATAATGCACAAGCATCATTGCAGATGATGCTTTCTTACTGAATGCAGTTTGATTTTACAGGAGATAATCTGACCTCTGGCATAGCCAAACGTGTATATACGCATCAAATGTTGCTGCATAACAAAATTATTTTGTTTGTTCTACAAGAAAGACTTCAGATCTTCAAAAGAAGTATTTTAGCTTCTGTTCACATTAAAAACCAAAGGAAAAATACAATGAAGCAAAGAATATTCTGGTCAAATATATAGAATGAAGTGTTGCTGCTCATGTGTACCCTACCTAAAACTCTTACTGAATTAAAAAAAAATAACAATAATAATTATAATAACCAAAAAAAACCTTTAAAATTCAAATGGAGGCCCCCAAACTACATTGGTCAAATTGACATTTTTCTATACACAAAATTACAACGTTTGTCCTATTCTTAGCTTTACCATAGTATAGTAGACAAATAAAAACTATATTTATTTAAGGAATGCAGTCTATTTGATGTTTTGATATATTTTTATAATTAACTGGTTGCCACAGTCAAGCTATTTAAGATTTCCATCACCTTGGATAATTACTTTTTTGTATATGGTAATAAGATCTGCTTTAGAAAATTTCAAGTATCAAAGTTATTGGGTCAAGGGATTGGGGGTGGGTCGAAAGGAGTTTGGGTGAAATCCAC